TTTAAAATCATGTTAACGATGACTTGTTAACAACTGAAAATTAATTAATTAACGCTAATAGATTTTGGTATTCAATGAATTTACAAAAAAAAGTACTTTGTATCATTTTTACTATTAATTAAAATGCCTGAGGAACATAGCTTTGATTATCTAAATCACAAATAAGTACTTATAAATGAACATTTTTATCAAGAATAATTATAAAATTTCTCTTTCATCCTTAAAACATATTTTGATTGGACTTTTTGAAGTGAAGCTCCTTTTGATTCACCCTGTACGAGATAATTATAGTCTATTTTTATGTATGAGAGAGTATTAAAATAATGAAGCGTTCGTAGTCCATAGGCTTACCACTTCTTTTACTATACAGTTAAAATATTTTTTGAAGTTATTCCTCGAGTATACACTTATATTTTCACCTAATTAACCTGCTTATAACTTCTAAACAGCTGAAGGTAAAAAAGTGCAATTTTTTCTAAAATGTTTTATTTTTCCACAAGGTATGTTAAGAACATTGTGTCAAACGGGTTATGTAGGTATAAGGGTTTAAACTTTGACTTTTAAACAACGTTACGTTCATAAATAATAATTTTAATATAAAAACTACTTCTTACCTACAAATCCAAATCAGAATCGAAATCAGAAGATAAACTGTCGCAACCAATATTTACAATGAGTGTTTCGATCATTTCATCAGTAATATTGTCCAACTTCCACATTTTCTCTTCTTCTTTAATCGTATGATTTACTGCCTTTTCCCAGTTTTCAGGCTTCACATTATTTACAGCCTCCAAAAACAACTGTTTAACATCACTCATTTTAAAAGAATTATTTTTTCTTGAAACTTCTCCCTTTATCTGTGCCCATATCAGTTCAATCGGGTTTACTTCGCAATGATATGGTGGTGATCTAACCACCGTCATCCCATGATTTTTTGCAATTTCATCAATTTCGTATTTTTTGAATTTCTCTTTATGAAGGGAACACAAATGATACAGTTCTTTTCTCACAGAACCGGGATGGAACTTAATATTCTTTGAATTTAGCTAATTCTGTAAATCTTTTTTTAACCACTTGGTTGTGGGCATTTTTTCTATAAGTCTCTAGTGATAACTTGCATTATCCATTACTATTATACAGTTCTGAGGAAGAAGATCTATAATTTGTTCGAACCACTCTTTAAAGACATCAGCATTCATGTCCTCATGGTAGTCACCGGTACGAGTAGATTCAAAAGTCAATAAACCACCTTTAACAAAACCGTTTGAACTACCGATGTGTACTATTATTAGTCTGCGCCCCTTTCCTGATGGTGGATTTAAACCAGTAGATAAATTATTTAAAAAAGCCTCGACTTGTAACAGTTTCATCTTGCCAAAATTTATTTGGTTTATGTCCCTCGTTGATCCATGTTTCATCTAAATAAAATATATTTCTTCTTTGGTTTCTCATTTCTTTTATAGTCCTTAGGTAATTTCTTCTCCATACTACAATATCGCTTCTTTCTATTAAAATAGACTTTCTGGAATGCTTTTTCCATAGAAAACCTATTTCTTTTAAAAGTTTCCATAGTATGCTTCGACTCATTTCAGGATAATCCTTATCATCTCGAACCGTGGCAAGAACTTTGTCTACTGTCTGAAATTCTTTTCTAAAGAAAACGCATGCACTTTCCTTCGAAGTCTTTCTTTCAAAAGATTTTCTAATTGAAATTTTGGTTTTCCTGGAGCTTTACGTGCTGTTTGAAACTCGCCACATTTCTCTTCTTTAACAACTCTGTAAATCGTAGATTTCCCAACACCAAGCGTACTACTAACTAATTCCACTGTGTCATCAACACTTTTACATAAATGTTTGTCTGTAAATGATTTAAAACAATTAAATATTAATGTTTTTTCGTTAACTGTTAAAGGACCGATTTTTTGTCGTTTACGCGGCCCTTCCAAATTTTCCATGATCACACTATAATTCACACTGCACCTTGCAAGTTGCAACTAAACGCCATTTAGTAAACTGTCAAGAATACACAACTTAGATCTCCTTACTAAATGGAAAACCTATAATCGCATTTTCGGTGAAATTTGTTGGGAAGGTAATTATCTACTTATAATTCGATTACTGTAAGAAATTCTTGGAATTAAAATAAAACAAAATTGGCAAATAGGTACTTATTGAAAATAATCTTAAGATACGGCTATGTAATCTTTAATACACAGGGCTTTTAGCCTGTCCAAACCTTTTTCTATTTTTTTGTACAGCTTATGTTTATAAAGGACCAATAAAAGACCCAAAACTTGTAATAGCTCAGGTACATTTATTACAATTTTAGGAAATATTTAGATTATTCTGTAAAAATATTTAAAATGACCGTACTAAGTTTTGCATTAGAAATGCTGTTTTATTACTCTCTCATACATAAAAATAGACTATAATGGTATTATTTCAAGACATACCTCTATGTTTAAACATAATTCTCATGAATATCTACCCTAGTTTATTAAAGAAATTATTGATGGTGTTAAAGCTAAAAACAAATCGGGCATTAATTAGAAAAAAAGAGGATTTAATCATGAGCAATTATTTCAAATGTTTGACATAGATGGATAGATGTAACCACGCATCAATCTCACTTTTGTAAATAATAAAATATACATAAAATTAACTTTTCGTTGTCCAGAATTGAATCACGCGATGAATATGTTTTCTAAATATAAAACAAAGAATAATTCTATTAATGATTGCAATGTTGTATGAGCACAACAAAGATATTATTAATTAATATTTAGCTGTAACTGCCAATGTACTAATAATGTTTTACAACTTTTGACTCATTCGGCAGGTGTTTGAATGCAAATTTATGAAGTGTTTTATTGTAATTCTATTGCTAATTAACTTTCACTGTGTAGTAAGAATTTACGCTGTAGTAAGAATAGTGTAAAATTACGTAAAAGTTGGTTTTGAAAAAAGACAAATCTTACATTAGGAAATTTTTCCTAAATAAAAGCCTCGGATAACGTTATTTCACAACGAGGCTGTTCATAAAAAAAAGAAAATTATTATGCATAATAGAAATTGAAAAGAAATCATTTTTGGGTGTTCATATTATAGAAAAATTTATTTTTTACATGAAAATGACAGCACATTCTTAGATACAACCCCATAACAGAAAAGGGTTGATTTTAAAAATAAAAATACCTTTAAAACGATGTCATTCAGATCTTATAAGATAACAGTTTCAAAGTGGCGCTTAATTGTCATTTTGAAAATTTAAGCTGTCAAAAAAATGAAAATTAAAAAAGAAAGACATTTAAAAACCCGCCAAGATATTGATTCGCTAGAACTGACATTGTGCCTTTTTTATTATTAAGTTTCTTCAGTAAAATTTAAAATTCTTCTGTGCCTCCTGATCATTGGGTTTTTAGCAGAATATTTGGAACCGTGGATATTTCGGTATATCGGTAGTTTTTTATTTTTGAATAATCTGTTTGGAACTGGTATATTTATAGAGACACCAACGTCACTAAAAATGCAAATTTTGACTTTATCACCTCAGTCATTCGAAAAATAGTAAATATAAATAGAATTTATTATAGTAAAGTTGTTCCTCAAAACGTAAATATTGAATATTTATCAATATTCGAGAACTATGTTCGAATATAAAATGCAGAAACAAAATTTTTAGATAGATTTCGACTCCTACTGTTATAGAATAATATTACAGTAAGGTGCTAAATCTAATTAAAAAGAATGAAAGCTCAATTACAATCTGTTCGCTATACTTACGCGGGTTTCGGATTAATAAAATTATGCAAATTAGTCATTGATAACCAGTTCCAATAAGCCTCTTCCCAAGAGATTTTGATAAGATGAAAATATTAAATCTGCACCTTTTATAAAACCCGATTTCCCTCCTGCATGTAAAATTATATGTCGCTTCCCTTCTCCATCGGTATGTTTGATGGACTTTACGTTATCATCTATGTTTCGTCTAAATATATAAAATTCGCCACTTGTTCTTTAAATTTAGAATATTTTCTTAGAAAGTTAATTCTCTTGTGCACGACAGAACTTCTTTCACAAAGGGCCTTTCTGTTATCCTCCTTTTGAAATTTGAAACCCAAGTTATGTATCACTTGCCATAGACTTGTTCTGCCAACGTCGTCAAATTTTCTATCTATTAATTCCGAGAGAATTGTATTTAAGGTCACATGTTCCTTGTTGGCCCTCATTCGATAAATGGTATCACGAATTTCAAATTTCTTTCCATCTGGAATATCTTTCGTTTTCAATGATGGGCGAGTTTTGCGGTGATCTTCTTTCGGCAGTTCACTATTGTGAACGCATACGCGTTGTTGTACAGACATTACCGATTTTAAAAGACCGCCATTTTCTTTTTCATTCGTAAATTACTTATGTACACTACAAATTAGACTATCTACATCTAACACACGTCTAGGCATTTTTAAAATGTCCACTAAATTTATAATATACATACAATGTCAACACTTGCAAAGAATCAATTCAACTGCAATATTTGTAACAAATTTAGTACCTACCCTAATGTTATTTTAATTTAAATCTGACAATTAGGGCAATTTTACCTAATTTCTTGGGAAGAAGTATATTGGAACTGGTTGTCAATGACTAATTTGCATAATTTTGTTAATCTGAAACCCGCGTAAGTATAGCGAACAGACTGGAGTGTATTTTGTGACCTTAACCGGGCTTTTGACTGTGTTCAACATAACAGAAATAATTCAATAATAAGTTTTATTTGCTTAAATCAAGCATCGTCTCAAATCTTTAGATATCAGAGAAGAATTGGTAACATGTACTGGAAATAACCGAAGCCCGCCCTGATATCTTGATCGCATTACTTACTTTCTACATAATATATTGCTGCTAGGTGATTATTAAATTAAGTGTACAATTAAACTGCACCAAATACGCAATTAAAGTGAAAATTGTATGTATTACTATCTAAGGAATTTGTATCTTACACGTATCCAGCTAGAATGTTCAGCAATGTAGATTTTCCAGCCCCAGATGGTCCCATTATGGCTGTCAGTTCTCCAGATCTGAATTTCCCATTTACATATTTCAGAAGTTGTCTCCATCCTGAAAAAAAAAAAATAGAAATATTTTTTATTAAAAGTTTTCAGCGTCTGTTTTGTACACCAATTTATTGAAGATATAATTTTTAAAGTTATTTAGGTTTGTTATTGTAATAATTTAAAAATGTAGTTCATTTCTATTTTTAATATATTCAAATTATGCGAAAACTGATATGAAATTCGTGTATGGAGTGATTCATACTAATAATAATTTCATATTTTTTAACTCACGAAGCAGACAATCACTCAGTGTTGTGTACGTGATACTTTAGATCAGTGGTCGCCAACCTGTCGATCGCGAGCTACCGGTAGCTCGCGAAGGCAATTCTGGTAGCTCGCACGATTTTAATTTAAAAAATACAAACTGCAAAAATCAGAGAAGCTTCCGAAAATTCCACAAAAAAATCTAATTGTCATAATATTAAACATAACGCCATCAAGCTAGAATCGGCTAGAACCGACCAGCCGGACCAGCACGTTAGTGTTCGAGAACGATCAGGATTGCTTTGAACGGGATAAATACGCACGGCGCGGCGACATTGCGCTTAATTTAAAACTGAACGCGTAACCAACGTCCAGCGGTTGGGTTAGTAGAGAACAACAAAAAATAATATTATGGCAAGCAGTTGTAAGAAGGTAAAGACATACCACTTTCATTCGGAATGGGAAGAACAATACTTTTATACAGAAGTTAAAGATAAAAATGTGTGTTTGTTATGTAATACTTCGGTCTCCGTTGCTAAAAAAGGAAATATTGAGAGACATCATAAAACTGTACATTCTAATTTTGAAAAATCATTCCCACTACATTCTGCCGCCAGAAAGGAGAAACTGAAACAGTTAAAAAAGCAGTTAATTGGATGGTTTTTAGTGATTTTACGATTAAAGAAGATCTTTTGAAGTTTATTCCACTGAAAGGACACACTACTGGACAGGAGTTGTTTTCTCATTTAAAAAATATTATTTCTTCCGAGAAAATTCCAATATCGAAAATGGTAGACTTGACAACCGATGGCGCTCTAGCTATGGTGGGTTGTGATAAGGGTCTGGTGGCGTTATGTCGTCAAGATGAAACTTTTCCGCAATTTCTCTGTTACCACTGCATTATCCATCAGCAAGCATTATGTGGAAATTTCCTGAAACTAAACAACGTTATGAAACTGGTGGTAAAAATTGTGAACAAGATTAGAGCTCAAGCGTTACAAAGAAGATTATTCAAAACCTTTGCCGATGAAGTTGACTGTCAATACGGGGACCTACTCCTTCACTCTGAAGTCCGATGGTTAAGTAGAGGACGGGTGCTGAAACGTTTTAATGATGTCCTATCTGGCATAGTTCAATTTTTCAAACAACGCGATGAACCGACTCCGGAACTAGAAAATTCAATCTGGCTTAGAGATTTTGGTTTTCTCGTGGACATTACAGAGAAATTAAACGAACTTAATTTGCAGCTTCAGGGGAGAGACAAAGAACTAGCGGAAATGATTTCTGATATAAAAGCATTTATCAAAAAGCTGGAGTTTTGGGAACAAAACCTAATTAACAGCGATGTCAAGCATTTTCCTATTCTTTCAGAAAATTTATCTCAAAATCCATTAAAACCCTATGACAGCAAATATCATGTAGAAATAGTTTCTACCCTGAAGAATAACTTCAAAAATCGTTTCAAGGATTTCAACGAAATGGCTTTAGTAGCGCAGTTTGTTGTTTCACCCTTTATGGAAATTGATATCCAACAGTTTGCAACTTGTGTTATGCAGAACTTTGGCGAAGACATCGCTGCAACAGAAATGGAAGTAATTGAGTTTCAAAATGATTTAGACTTAAAATCGTTAGTCTCAAGTACCAAATGTATCTGGCCTATTGTAAGTAAAGACAAATATTCAGTTCTATGCTGTGTTGCCTTGAAAGTGAAAGCATTATTCAGTTCAACCTATTTGTGTGAATCTTCTTTTTTCAATATGAAGTTTATTAAGAACAAATATCGCAATCGACTTACAGATGAACATTTGGATAATTGTATTCGAATGGCTGTATCAAATTATACTGCAAACATAAAAAAAATCGATGAGTGTGAGTGTCAGCCTTCTCATTGAAAGTCCTTTTTTATTTTTCAATGTTTATGTCATGATAGTGCGTTACTTTTTTGTTGTTATTATTAACTATTTTTAAGTGATATGCCGTTGTGGCTGGATAAAAGTTTGTGTGTATTTTTCAAACACCTTCGTTTGGTAGGTAGGAATGTAGCTATGAACAAGTACGTACTAGTAATATTAGTTATTTTGTTATTAGTTTATTATTAGTACCTATGTATTATGTATTACCAGTTAAATAGTAAAATAAATACATATAATGATAAATTAACTGTGGATTATTTCATTTACGTTGCGTTACGTGGCTTCCGTGTGGGTAGCTCGCTGTTTATTCCAAAATTAACAAAATAGCTCAACACATTGAGAGGTTGGCGACCACTGCTTTAGATAAACAAGAGTTCTAAGTCAATCTTTAGAAAGGCACAATTAAGATCCGAGGACATTTAAAATTATGTACCGACGTTTGACCAACCCCTAAAATAATTTAAAAACCTTTAATCTAAATGGTCAATCGAATTTCAATTTGGTAAAATTGGGCAATCGACATAACATAAATTTATAACAGTTTATAATTATGTTTAGATATTTAAACACCCCCCTAAAATAATTATAAAAAAATATAATTAGTTGTGAAATAACATTTAGACTAAAATAAATAAAAAAATACTATCATAGAAACAAAATTTAGAGGAATAATAATTATAATTTAAACTCTAAACAGAACAAAAACATGAAAAAAAATGTGTAACCAGGCAAATCATAAATAGTGAAGAGAAAATTAATTTTAATTACTGGAATTTGTCGAATGTTAATGTCAATTAATCTTATTATATTATATTACCCTTGAAGTCAGCTAGTTAGTTTTGTTAGTCTTGAAGATGTTCTCTTGATTTTTTTTTGTAATTAAGTATTTTATTTTCATTTAGTCATAAAAAACTAATCAATAGTTAATTGAGTGAAATTAAGGAGATATGGTCACTGGTTCGTAACCCATCAGATGAAAATTAACAGTAAACCTATTTCCTTATTGTTTATTTTTCATAATGGCAGATTGTAAGTAAGCATTAGAATAACAAACATAATAAAAACAGTAGATTATTGTTATAGATTATTATTATAATACAATAATCTTTATAACTTCCAGTTAAACCCGACATGACCGTGACTTTAGTTTTTTAATGGTCACTATTTTTTATTTGAGTAGCTGTATGTATATTAAAAAACGTAAAAATTGCAACCAATTAACGAAATTAATGCCTTCTTTATTTTATAAAATTGTTTTGCAAAACATTACTGGCATCTAGGCAACCAATATTACTTTCTTGTATTGTTAGTTGCATATGCATAACTTTACTCATTAATACGAATAATCCACTAGAGTTGTACAGTATATTTTTACTACGATTTGAATTTGAATCCTGGGATAGTAAAATGAAAGGTATATTTTTAATATTAACATTATCTATCAGTGTCTTAATTCTTAATACCGATTCTGAACATGGTTTTTAAATTTTGGACTTCATGATGGTCCTAAATATAGGCCAAAACTAGTTTTCAGTAGAATTGATGGTTTGTAATGTAAGAAGTTGAAAGCAGGAAACGTAATATTTCCAAGAAAGAAATTTGCATTCTTAAAAATTTAAATGTAAACAAGTTGTTCTGTACCACCATATTATAAATGCCCTATAAATCATAAATCACTCGAATGGTTTCAAATTTACATATAAATCTCGCGCACGTACCGTTTGGGCCTTGAAATTGGAAATTATTTAAATCAAAACCACATAAAATGCTAAAATGTTGTATTGACGTTGAAGTGGGACGCAGGAAAAATTGCAACTTGTATTAGATCGTTGTAAACAAAGAAACAACCTTCGATAAATCTTTTAAACAATGCTAAAACAATAAATTAGCTTATTTACCGACAAAAGAATTGTTATGTAGTAAATTATTACGAAGATAGCTCTTTAAATATTTGTAAAACTTAAGAAAATACTATAAGAAAATGAAAACATTGAAAATGCGCAATATCATACTCTTAACTCTTTCATAATAATTTTAAACCACTTTTCAAAAACAGGAATATAAAAAAATATTCCTTCAAAATTTTAGGAAATTGACCTGTAAAGGCATTTCACAAAATATTATTTTGGTCCAAAACTCATAATTTTAATGTCCAGCCAATTAGTACGTCAGATATATGCCAAAAAAATAACAAAATGTCAATATATGCATTCAAAATAAAAAATTGTATATATATGCAACATATGCAAAATATGGCGTTTTGCATATATTCCTAGCTCTAGTTATTAGTGTACCAAGGCCGTAAAGTTGATCTTTTACGGCATAATCAGAAATTTGCGGCTAAGGCCAAGAAACTTCTGGTTAGGCCAAAAAATATTATACCGCCGAAAGCCAATATTTTTTTTTACATTCTTTTGTTTTTCCTCAAGAATTGTTTACCTGTGTTCATAAAAAACGGCTGTAAAGTAGTTGAGGCCAAAAAAGTGAAACTTTAAAGCAGCCGTAAAGTAAATGGGGTGTTAATAATTCCATAACATGTCATTTATTATGACAGTCGCCTAAAAAAATGTGTACACTTCGTCCGTATGATCTTTTTTGGCCTAACCAGAAGTTGCTTGGCCTCGGCCGCAAATTTCTGATTCAATCAAAAAATATTGGTATCGCAATTTATTTTAACTCAACTTTACAATAACAATGCAACTGATAGCATTAACATGTAACGTCTATCATAAAACTGAAAACTGACATTAGGATCATCCTTATATAGCTTGCTTGACCTTTCTCGAACCTTCGCGAACTGACGTCTAGAATATTCTTGACGGGTAATGACATTTCTGGACTATTCTATCTTCTTTTACTTGTACTTTTACTTATGACGACCTCAGCG